CTGTTCACGGGTATCGTTACGTCACAGTTAATACAGAGCTGTTGCGTTTCTCCTTTGCGAACGCTCCGAAGGAATGCCTGCATTTCCTGTGGCTTGTCGAAAGTTGTTTTTTTGTTCGCAGATATATCCTTGTTTTTCTTAGCCACGGAGTGAATTGGCGAAAAGCAAATACTTCACCATGTGGGTACGTGGTACTTGCGACCATTTAGTACTTGACTTTGGCCATTGTTTTGAATTTATCTTTGAAACACGCCCTTTCGTAAGACCGAATTTTATAATCCTTGCTACGGGGCGTGCCCCAATGAGACGGGAAGTATGATACATTAAAATGAGATCCAACTAATTAAAACAGGCATAAAATGCTGTGACAATAAAAATGAGGAATATTCAAAATTCCCTAACTATGCAATAATAAAAATTCAGATTTTGTTCTTGTTTCTGTTATTGAGTAGAACTCATTTATGTATCCAAACGCTTTTGAATATGTGTTTTATATGATGTGGGCCATTCCAAACCTGTATGAGTTTGCCTTGAAAGCCAAATATAATTAGACCGACGGAAACGCTATTTAATATGATTCCTATATCTAGACTGATTTATTTTCGATCCGACCGTTAGTAAAGCTTGATCGGACATTAAAGTGAACTCAGAGAATAAACTGTCCTTATATCATCGAGTCAACAAAAGAAGAAGACATAAGGCTTTTTTTTTTTTGATGGCACTTGCCAGTGGAATCGGCAGCTGCAAAACGTTTTTCCGTGCAGCTGAGTGCCATCAATGCTGCCCAGATAGCAACTCATTAATTTTTATTTAAACGAACTCTTCAATCTCAGGCGCAAATCTTTGTTGCTGATACATTCCGCGGTCATTCATCCTGCGAAACACTAGTATTGCCGCAGTACGTGCATTGTTAAAACAGCTAAGCAGAACTTGACAGCGTTAACTTAAGTGAAACTGTGACGGATAAGGTAATTTGAATTTCTGCCAGTGCATGGGGCCAAATTTCCCACGTGTATATATATGTGTATATATAGGAGAAGCTGAATGTTATCGTTCCAAATAGCGTATTTACCACATAAAATACAATGCTAGCCACCATTACACACATTTCGCTCCGAAATTAATCTAACTGTCGTGTTCTGTCATTCAGGAATATAATAATTATCTGTGTGCAGTTTCGATGCTCGTTTGTTATTATTACTGTAAAAAAATCGCATATGTTTTTATCCTTAAGAAACGGTCTACGAGGTTCTGACCTTCAAAACCCTACGCTGAGGCTCCACAAACTGGGACGCAACAAATCCAGTCGATGTGTTTTGTTTTTCTGTATTGCGCCCTCAGCAAAGCAATACATACTAAGAAAACTAACAGGCGGTTTTCAAATAAAAACAAACTTCATATATGTTGATTTGCATTATTTTGAAGCCATACTGAGTCTTTCGCTGACGACGACTCAAGCGACAAATATATATATACTTCTTTACTTATGTATCAGTTGGCTGAAGAAACGCAGCTAAAACGATCTACGCGATTCTTCCACAGGTGGTTCATGCTTTAGCAAAAGAATTTTTTTCCAAAACAAGTTTTCTGTAACTGGTCGGTACCCTGCGTAGCTCGTTTTAAATGATGGCCCGCGCTCAACGTGAGTACGTCGATTTCCAAATCCAAAAGAACTTTTAAAGAAACTCACAGAATGTATTTTTAAATGCACAAAACGGCGTCTTTGCTCCATAACCATCGTGTGCCTCCGCTCCTTGGTTCAGTGTTTCTCGGCATCGAAATTGAGGTTGACCCATTCAGTCGGTTATTGGCATCGATTCTTTTTTCAAAATTTGACATTTAACAAAGATCACAAATGATTGATTAGCCAAATTGTTAATGTCACGAAAGTGCGCATACAAGAAAATGAAGATGGTTGTCAACGATGCTTTCGCGTGTCATCATCTTCTGTTACCTTCTGTGAACGTAATAGTGACGCTCTTCAGCGTATGTAGCTCATAGCCTCGCGTGCGTGGCAACACTCACCCTGTGTCTATTACTCCAATACGAAGAAATTTTTGGTAATGGTAGTGATCGTGTTAAATGAACAGAGTTAAACCTTTGGGGCCTATTGCTGTTAGCGATTACCTTTGACTTGTATTAGCAGAAAACAATTTTAGCTAGCATAGAAGTAGAAAACATACGGGGGATTTTTTTTTTCGATGAACAATACAGTGGCAGTATAAACGATAAAAGTAATCATCAGCAAACCACATGTTTCTCCATGACTCCGTCTTTGCACGGGTATAACACGTACACGTGTTGTATCCGTGCAAAGAATAACTATTACAATTCACGTTTTAGTGGCTGTGTACGCCCATTGTCACATAAAAAAAGAACTAGTCAACGTGCGAATCAAGTTCATATTCAATATGGCACAATATCAATTGTTGCTGTTTACGCTGCAGCACGCCTGTATCTATCTACGTTCATATTTTACATCTTAGATCCCATTAGGCAGTCGGTCGTAGAAGAAACATGGCGAAACAACGACGATTGAATCAATGATTATACTCAAGCTGGCCACTGCTTCACGCGGCCTGAATTCACTTAAACCGACGGCAAGCTTCGTACGAGAGAAACAATGCTATTCGCCTTTTCAATTTCCAGACGTATATAGAAGGCTCGCAGATGACATTTACATAAACTGGTGCTTCTCAATGAGACTTAGTACTGGTATGCTACTGGTCCTGTTAAAATATTAGACCAGTCCGCTACTCCTTTCTGCTGCTGTGAATAATATCATTGCGGAATATATATATATATATAATCAATAGATCTGCTAGATGCATATGGCGTTTTGCCGTTTGATACAATGCTGTTTCTGGCGATTGAGAAGGACTGATGAAGCACACGCCTGATCGGGCGAGCAAGCAAGATATATCCAAGCTTATCTATTCGATGTAACGCTGCGTGATTACGAAAGCAACGCATTAGATCCAATGTAATATGAATTTGAAAATGGCCGCGCATATATATATATATATATATATATATATATATACAAGTGTACCGTCAACAAAGCGGTTTGCGTCAGCTGCGGCAGCTCTGTTATCAAAAAAGGTGTCGAGCGTACATGTTTCTAAAATAAGCAAGGGCTATAAACGGCTCTCGTTGTCCAAATTGTTTTTGTGTAATAACGATTCAATCGGCCGGCCTTGGCCGTCTCGGTGAGTTGAAATGTTTACCTTTTAGTGGTTATCTTCTAATACGCCAGTGGTCACGAGTAAATAAGTGCCGATTTGATTAGCTATTAGCGGTTTTTTATTTAGACAAAACGGAAGGAATAAGGCATGAGTCAGGCTGTTATAAGGCAACAACGAGCCCCGATTAACAGTGACTGTAATCTTCACTAATAATAGTACAACAACACTGACGGAACAAATGAAGGGCAATGCTGTTGATGACAGTTTGTTCGGTCTAGTGGCATAACAAGGAAGCACCGCGGAGGACAACACGAAACGCTGCCTTCTGGACATATAGAACTGAGCTTAAATTCATGATTTGCTTAGCCTAGATATTGCTTCGAAGTTTCAATATTTATTTACAACTGAATCATATGTAGCAACCACTAAATACGATGAAGTTTCTTTTTCACACAGTGAGCCGATACGGGCTGTGGTAATGATAATAATATTAATTATTAACAGTGAAGCGCCGGCCTACATTAGCGCTAATTTCCGGTAAAAGTAAAAGGGACAACAGGATGTATTTCGTTAATGTCTCATTTGAAACAGACGGGCTGTAATTATAGGAAACAGACGAAGTTAAAATTACTGTTGGCAAACTGTTGGCTGCAAGATTACTTTATATTTGTCTCTTGCTCATTTATCTCTAATAATCTCCACAGAGCACACGTCTTGCATAATAGAAATAGAACAGCGATAAGCGCAACTGATCAACTCTAAAATCAGCTTTATTATAAAGCCTTTATTACTAAACGTGGGGAATAATGACGCCTAGTCAAGCCTGACCATTAGCGTTCACAGACGCTCGATAGATCTGGTCTTCGTAGCAGACTATAAGCGACAAATAGATTTGCTCAGATAGATAGAAACTCGACAAGTCATATCATAGATCTGTTTAACACTGTAACAAGTCTTCATTGTTTTTAACATGACAATGGCCACAAAACGGGGCGTTGGCTGCAGTCGGTGAGCGGAGGAGGTAGTGTTCAGATACGTGCTGCCTGCACATCCGTCTCGATAACGAAAATCGGGACCAAGCCAAGAGATAACGGGAGTCTTCGTGCGCTGTTTCTTACCGCCGTTGTTGTTCCTCATCATGAGTGACTGCGTTGGTACGTTTGCGGTTCTCCCAGTGACAGTAGATCTGCTTGCCCCACATTGCTTCCTCCTATGGTAGGGGCAAACTGGCACCACCTACTCCTTACAGGCGGCTCATTCGCCAGCCCGTCCGCCTTCTATGAATGCCCTGCCGGTGCCGCACCAGTCGCTTCGCGCAACTCGATCAGCAGACTCTACAAACGATGTACGAGAAGCACGCACTGAATCGATGCAATTATGTGTTTTTCTTTGACGTCGTGCACACGTTTACGTTAACACGTGGTGCAATAGGGCTAGTATGGTCAGTTGATATGTTGGGCATAACCGTCAACATCTGTACCACAAGTCGATAATTTTGTCGCCGAATCGTGCGCATTTGGTGTTTACGCGAAAAATCATGCAGTGACGTAAACGATGGAGATACGAATGTGCCGCGCATCTTAGAAACGTACCGAGTTATTTGGTCCGTTCGAAATTTTTGAAATAAAACTATGTCAGTCTTATCGAATATATATGTATATATATATGATGTCACTATGCACAATTCCAGCAGCAGAATACAATCACAGTGGGATCTCTAGATAAAACCACAACGAGTTAGATTAACATCGAACCTGGTATTGGATAAACAAGCAGACGACTAATGCATAAATTTGAATTTCTTTTTAATTCCAGGTAAAGGTCATAACTACTTAGGTCAGGGACTACTGTGCGGTTAGTTGATGGATCGTGTTTTGTTAGAGTTCGGATGGAAAGTATTTATCTGTGTGAGATGAATGACCTAGTGTTGCCGATGTGAGTCACCCTTCAGTTCAAACAATCACCACGTCTGCCATAAGACAATACTTTGACAAACTTTTAAATTTATGGGATAAGCATTTCTTAATAACGATCTTAAATCCCGCTGAAATTCAGGATAATATCGGTTGATTTAGAGCTGGACCTGATTGTTGTGAAAATGTTCGAACAGCTAGCCCTAGAAGCGAGTTTTCATACTCTCGAGCTCGTCCAGAGTAATAAAACAGTGGGGTAGCTTGCGGCAATCCACATTTTAATTCAGATTCGTGTTTAATTTAAATTAGGCTTTAATACGCTAAAATCCAAGGAGCGGAGGTAACACACTTGCCCTCCAGAGCTCTTTGTATTATCGCACTTTGCTCGTCATTGGTCCTATGTTCTTTCATTCTCTGCCACACTCCCTATATCCCCTATACTGTCTCTATGATAATATAAGCAATAGATTACAAATCTTCAGCTATATCGCCTGTTTTTTTTTTCTGTAAAAGCTAACCTTTCTAAGATGCCTTGAGTATCTTGTTATTCAAGTACATCGATGTCCGATAAAGAAATTCAAGTCCGCTTCTCTCCCATGTCTCCCGAGCTTTCCATAAAAACCTGTAACGGACCCTGCGTTAAATTTCCTCCGCATTTTACGACATGCCAAGTGATAAAGGGTGAATATCACGATACGTTTATTGCCAGGGGTTTCTCTTGAGTAGCTTGGCGCATATATCGCTCAGTTACATCAGCAATCTAGAGGTCGGCTAGTGAAGGCTAGACAAATGCAAACACAGGATTGGCAATAGACACCAGTGGCCATCATAAGAGACTCTCAGTCTGTACTCCAAATCATGGGGCCAAACGCCACCCGTTAACTTGAGAGCGCTGCTAAAAAGAGAGCGATACTACTAGCAGCTATGCGATTCAGTTCCTGCGGTCCTTTTGGAAAAGCTGACGTCCTTTAATAATGTCTGTCGTTAGAATCACACATATGATTTGCAAGGCGTTTTTATAGAGTGCACCTAGATCCCTTACCATATAGCTGAATTGTTTTTTTTTTTTTTTTTTTAATTTTACTAGGTAATTTCGATCTAGAGACTACTCATGGAAGTATTTAAGAATTCTTCATTGAAAACAACTAGGTAGCGATGAAACCAAGGGTTAAAAGGTCGTTTATTTTATCAGGAATTTTCCGTTTTCGGGGATAACCGCTGAATCCGGAACGCAAAGGCATATTTAGAGATGTCGACGTCCAGAATTTTTCCATATGGATCTTATAGCATATTTACATTAGTTACGAATAACTCGAACTGATCAGATCTTCCTGATGATACCTGGAGAAATGCCGTTCGCAGTTCTTTCTGTTGAAACGAATCAGATTTGCAACGTGTCCGGGTTTTTCCGACATGTCACTTTATTATAGACCCTACAATTGCCAATCGTCGAGTGCCTAGCAAATACTGTTTCCTACAACCATGAGGGTAATGAGCGTTGTAGCAAATTTTCAGACTGTAGCACACGGCTATTTTTGTCAGCAGAGTAGACGTTTATCTCTCTCTAAATAGTACCGTTGCATTTGAACATGTAACAGGCCATACAAGACTTAGAACTCGTATTATATAGTATGATCTTGCAAAGAGCAGAAATTCGAAATTGTCTTAAAAATTACAGTGCGTTACATGTAATCGCAGATAAGTACGCAAATTATTTCCGACATTCAATATTTTCTGTTATATTTATCTTTACTGGTAGTAGTCAAGAGCTGCACGAATACATGTCAGCAACACAATATCGGAGAGATTATATAGGACCACTTATTAACCTCGCACTGGGTCATAAAGACTACACGAATATTGTTAGGTTCATAAAATGAATTTGAGATTTTCAAGATGTTATGGTACCAGGAGGCGACTGGCGGTATGATATTTATTATAACTTCTTCCACGTCGGGAGCGCTTACATGTAGCCTCAGGCTCGTGGGATTCCTGGATTCCGCTAGAGCTCGTAGTGACACCCGTACACGACAAAGTGGGTGACAACGTGTCTATTTAGCCGATTCGTCCCTTTCCACTCATTGTTTTTCTTCGTACCCAAAGCAAAGTGTCCCTATCAATCTCGGCGAAAAAGAAAAATACTTGCATTTTGCTGATATGGTGAAAAGCAATAATCATAATAATAATAATAAAACAGTTGAGCAGCGACATGAGTCGTGGTCTGCGTTTAACCGCAGTAGGGACCTCCTGCAGCTTTTATCTTGTTGGGCTCGTACAGGCAGCGTCCTACTTTGCTGTCAGTCGAATCGAGGTAGATTATAATCATCTTGATATCTCGTAGTCATGTGACTTCTAGCGGGCAATATTGCCATCACGCTGTAGTCTAGACACTGCACGCCTATTTTCAGTGTTTAGGCCCCTTGAACTCCTTCCGTACGTCGGCTGCCTCCTCTGCCGTCTCGGATAATTCACAAAGCTCATCATTTTCCTAGCTGGTGAGCGAGTTTATGACATGGTAGCTGTTCGTTGTTATCTCTTATTCGCAGCAAGACTGCAGGCTATTCCGCGGGAAAGACTGTGTTACCAGGGGTGGTACAATGCGTATTTGTGTTTTTGCATCCCAAGGTGCCGGGTTCCACGCGAAATGTATCGGCTCCGCTTTAAAGTGAATAGATGATTTTGCTCCACAGAATGTACCGTTACATATCATACTTAGCACTAGGTATTACCAAAGGATACAGAAGACTGACAAATGGCCTTTTGTTTAGAATGAACCTAACTGCCTTCTAGTTTTGCTAATTTCTCAAATACTACAAGTGTATCAGAACAAGATATGTAGGAAATTTGAAGTTCACAAAGCAAAGGCAAAGCATCTAAAGTTTACATCGATGATTACTGTTGAAAAAATTGTTGTTCCGTTTTACACGTACTTCGACAAAAATTAGGTTCAGATACGAACTGCCTAATTCAAGCAGTCAATACCCACTCCTTACAACAATTGGCGAATTCCCAATAAGCCGTATATATCTCAGCCAACTCCATATCACTGCCTACGATACCTACGATAATTTCTTGTAGCAAAAGTTCGACTATAAATTTTATTGGAAAAAGCGTCGTTTTCCATGGATTTGGGGAACAACATAAAAGTGCTAATGGATTACCCAGTTTTATCCGGACATTCTCAAGTTGTCCGGCCGTTAATCGGAGAGCATCTCGCTTTCCAAAACGGGTTCTTATTCATGAGCATCGAGTTATTGTCACTTTTCTATTTCTAAGAATAGTACGCAAACGATACTATTAAGAATACCAGTAATATCAGCCATTCAAATCAGCTTTTCGAATCGAACAGACATGTGCGGCATCTGAGGCGACATGCATGTACAGGTTTTACTAGCTTTGCTCGGGAGTTCCTTCCGTTAGATGCATTCGTGATGACTCATCACAGTGACTCAGAATAGTCAGATGCTAGGATGGGAGCTGTGGGCTTGGGGGGCGAGTAAGCCTCCAACCCATCCCTTTCTTGTTGACATGAAGCAACAATTGTACAAGGTGGGCATATATTACATGGATCGAAAACTAGAGCCGCATTTCCCGCAACTGGTTGAACAGGATAAATGAATTCTTCTAGCAAGAGAACGAGAAAGGTGCCTTACCTGGGTTGAAAGGGCACAATGTTTCAGACTAAAAGAAAACAGGGTGCTGGGGTTAGAGGTGGCGATCCGTGACGAAGGACGTTCAACAAATACCCAGGAGACCACCAAGTTAAGCGTTTTATCGGAGAGAGAATGTAACGACCTCATTATGAGCCGATTATAAATCGAAAACTGTTCACGTGTCTGACCGAGTGTTGGATTCTTCCTTTGGGAATGATATAACGAGGGAATGTTTTGAATCTTGGACAAATACGCGAGATGTAAAGGTAGGGTGGTCTATGGAAAAAGGTAAGGCGTTCATCTGTCATGCAAACGTTCTTATTCGAAAATGGTCATTCCCACTCACTCTAGCACTGGCACTTTTTAAATCATTTAAGTATGATTTACACAAAACAATGAATATACAACAAGATAAAATTGCGGAGGTTGTTTTTGGGGAACTCCTGTTGCAGTGGCGAGAGATACGGAGCAAACGAGCATCGCCATAAGAAGCTTTCTATGAGAAAGATAACTATCCCAAGTGTATTTTTCAAAGAGAAAATTTTGGACGAGTATGTGAGCTTCAGAAATTTGGGGCGGTCGCACTTGGCGTGAAGCAATGCTCGCCCAGCGCGTCATGAGTACCATAATGGTGTATCAGGCTATCAGATTTCTCATCCGAACATGTTGTTATTATACGAAAGTACGTTTTCCAACTAAGCCCAGACTGAGAATAATCACTTCCCCTCGGCCCTTTTTCAAATTCACAATCAATGTCGAGCGTGTAACGCTATGGCATTTAGGGGCAGGGAAAGCTTTCATTTGTGTAAGATTATCTAAAGAAAATACCTAAACTTTTCAATGGGTAATCTTTATTTAGGCAGAATGTATTACGTATTAATTCCACAGGAAATTCCGCAGGAAATATGTATGATGCTAGACTGCTTCGATTAATTTGAATTTGGTTAAACGTCTCTATACGTGTTCAACATACGGGCAACGACATAATTACGAAATAATTAGTGGTAATTCATGACAGCTGGTTAGGTTATTTAGACAAATTAAGCCTGAACTTGTCCATACTATCGTTACTCTTCGAAATTGAAGACCATTAATGATTACTTTGAGTGATCATAATGTTTTTACTGTGCTACTACAAGATTGTCTATAAAACAACTAATAGATTGTGCAGTATCTTTTTTCGCAAGTTTGTAAAAGGGGGCGTTGAAGTCGTCTCGTCAGATGCGCAGTGACGATAACTAGAGGCAAGTAAGCAACACCTCATTAACATGCTCAGTCCCTGCCCCACGCCAGCGAGTAACAAAAATCAGCCAACAAAGATGTCACATAATATTTCTGTCATCGCCACCCATGTCTTTTTTTTTTTTTT